GCAAAAAGCACGCAAAGGACTACATTAAATACTGTGCTTCGTATTACATTTTAATAATGGCAAGTGACAAAAGTCATATTGACCTGTAATGATCTTTTATTTTTTCTCAGGTCATAACAGTTTCAAATAATGACTCACAACTTTTTTTATTCAAAACAATTGTTTTCATGACTACTGTATGTATTGTTAAAATCGACATAGTCAATCTTTCGTCAGTACAATAGACACTAAATGCATGTAAACCAATTGAACAATCAGACTACATTTACTTTTGTAGGTGTGTTAGTTGATACATGTACACTCTTGACATTTTTACATGCAGGAACATACAATTATTTTCGTAAAAAACCTACGTGATAATATTTGGGAATTCCTACATGTGCATACAAAAAAATGGAAGAATGACTAAAAAACACTAAGTATTTGTTACATCATACGTCAATACACAGTTTTGTTTGTCATGTTGTTAGATTCACAGTTATAATTAGAAGCAAACTAAGAAATGCTTGATATAATGATTATCGGATAATTTTCGACAATTCATATTTGCAATTGTTAAAAACTATTTCTCTAATACGATATTTTTGGTTTTCATTATTCGTACAGATAGGTGACTTCTTTTAACCTTTTTTGTTTTTTTTTTGTAACGTTTGCTATTAAGCATTCGTTCTGTGTATGATCGATGTATGGTTTTATGTGTTATTAAATGAAAAGAAAAACAAAGTAGAAAACGGGATAATCATTTTTTAATTAACAGAACAAGTAGGCGATGAATATATATGTATATATATAGCTTTTTTCTACGAATTCTTTAATATGATTTGGGTTTTGATGTGGTGAATAATATTTTACGTGACTGTGATCAAGTAATGATTCCATATTTCAATAGAGCTCTCATGAAGAAAAAATATACCTATGAAATAATATTGGTTAAGTCGAGAACATTCGACGAAATACATGCATTTGAATGAAACAAAATTCAACTATTTGCTAGACTATAGTGTATCTAAAAAAAGTAATGACATGTACCTTGAGTTTGATCGAAGTTAACATATAGTTTATAATTAGATTCTATTCTTTTGAAAATGAATGTTAGCAAGATAACATATTTGAAGAAAAAAATATATAGACGTATGAAAAGGTAATGTTTATCACAACAAAGTTTCATGAGAAAGTGTAGACTCTTATTGTACACATAAATAGATCTTATTTTTGAAGTACATTGTACAATGAACTTTGGCATTCTTTAGACGTTTGCTTCTATTTTTTTCTGGATAAGAAAATATTTTGTGTACACATTATGTTTTCTCGTTCTTCATCAACAGGATGCTTTTTTTTGAATAAAATTTTACAGTAATTGATATTTATTCATATTGTTTGTTTCATGAATTTTTCATCCTTATACAACAATATGCTAATGGAAGAAGCAAAGAAGACAAATGAAACAACAAGATCGAACAACAATAATCATTTACTGATAACATGTAGATTATTTGGAGATTTATTACTTGTTTTCTTCAAGACTGTATCACATATATAAAACTTTTCAGTCGATTGAGATGAGTGCTAAACAAATATTTAACAAATAATAGGATTTCGATAAGAGACCCTTAGAATTTGTCCGTAGGTTTCATAGTGAACCTTATCGTTAAAAAACATTAACTATAAACGTTACTACATTTATACAACACATATGGAACACCGTGACATCAGCGACAGTACTACTAAATGTCTTTTCTTGTGAAGAAAAAAAAGCATGTTCTATTGTTTCGAATATTTATTGCTGAAGTTAATGTTCGATTTTGTTCGTTATAAAAGATTTACATATAAAAAGAAATGGTGACATATGTTGTTTTCTATTTTTCACATAAGGAAAAAAAGGAAATAAGCGACAAAGAATATATATTTTTGAACGAATGCAAGATAACACAAAAAACTAATAAAAACATAATACTGTAACAAAAGAAAAACAATTATCGAACAGAAAAAGAGAGAACACATCAATACAGATAAACATACACTCTGCTGGTAATATCAATGTCAACTAGCTGATTTGTAAAAGTACAAACAGAATGGAATGTCACTAATGTGTATATACAATTCTTCAATCTTTTTCCGATAATGATTTTTTTGCAGGTATTGTTTGTTCTTCTTGTGGATCTTTTTCACCAAGACATACAGTACGAACAATAATATCTGTAACAGCATATGGATCACAATTTGATGCTGGACGACGATCTTCTAAATAACCACATTTTTCTTCACCGACTTGACGAGGTATGCGAATTGATGCACCACGATTTGCAATACCAGCGTTAAATTGATTGATCTAAATAACAAATTATTTCAATTGAAACATATACGTCTAAGATAGATTTTTATCCTGTAAACTTACACTTGCTGTTTCATGTCGTCCAGTTAATCGTCGTTCATTTCCTTTACCATATACAGCAATATGTGTTTTATGGCGAGCTTTAAGTCTTGTAATAGCTTCATCAATTGCTCTATAAACAATGACATGATTTTTTGCAGGTATAGAAATTCATAATTAAACTACATACTTAATGCCATTAGGCTCACGCATAGCTAAAGTTGAAAAATTAGTATGACATCCAGCACCATTCCAATCACCTGGAATAGGTTTTGGATTAAGACTAACTTGTACACCAAATTCTTCCGCAATACGGAATAATAAATAACGTGATATCCAAAGTTGATCACCACCATCAATACCTTCACATGGACCAACTTGATATTCCCATTGAGCTGGCATTACTTCAGCATTAGTACCACTTATATTAATTCCACAATACAAACATGCTTTGTAATGTGCTTCAACAATATCACGACCGAGTGCTTGATTTGCACCGACACCACAATAATAAGGTCCTAAAAAAAGTACGAAAACCAAATAAATTACATCTGTTACATATATGCGTTCTTTTTTTAATACTAACCTTGTGGATGTGGAAATCCACCTTTAGGCCAACCAAATGGCCAACCATCACGATCTAAAAGTGTATATTCTTGTTCAAGACCAAACCAGGGATGTTGATCATGTGCTGCTTTCATTGCTTCAACACAATCGAGTCGTTTGTTTGTAGCTTAACAAAAAAAAAAGAATCAAAATGAAGAAAGTCATAGAAAAATGTTTCATTTCTTACCAGTTGGTTCTTTATTATATTTGTATGTTTCACACATGACTAATTTATTTTGACCAAGCATAAATGGGTCTTTAAAGATAGCTACCGGTTTAAGATAAATATCTGAATTAGAACCTTCAGCTTGTCCGGTTGATGAACCGTCGAAATTCCACCAAGGTATTTCTTCTGGTGACTTTGGGTCATGATCAAGTGTTCGAGTTTTAGCTAAGCAATAGAATAGAACAATGCCAATTAAAAGAAAGGGTCATATTAACCTATGATAATCAATTACCTCGAAGATTTTCTCCAGTACCATCAATCCAAATGTAGGTAGCCATGACTTTATTGTCTGGCTGTGGTAATTCCAAATATTTGCGAAGGATAGCTTTGTCCAAAGCACCTGTATTTGTGAATATTGGATTCATTATGATGATGATACTGTGATGTTGTAGAACCAAATTGAAATGGTATGTATGTGTGTAGTTTTTTGCTTTATCTCCACAGTTTATATATGATATAAAGGTGCTGGACGAACATCGTTAGAGAGGGATAAAAAAAAATCGTTCTGCGTTCTTTTTTTTTCTTACTTTTTTATTATTATTATTTGGTGACTACTGTTATTATGATCACGCGTTGGACATTTGGTAGTCATACACTCTTATTTCGAATGTAAATCTTTTGATGTGATGAGAGAGGTAAAATAATGTCGTGTGTACCTTTGATGTTGATTGTGTATTCAGGATATTTTATGACTTGAACTTGAGTCAAGTTCTTTTTTATTGAGTTGTTTTTTTCCAAAAGATATCTACGCTTGTAGTTTTGCTTTAGCAAAACAAAAATTCGACCTCGACCTCGATCATCAAATCTTTGAATTTGTTTTCATGTTTTCGTATCTAATGTTTTCTAATGCAACTTTTTGCTATTTATTAAATCAAAAAACTGACGTCACCATTCATGTGAACCGTCCTAGTTAACATGACCTATCATCCAGTTCAAATGATTGCCTCATTGAATGCTTACGCATTCTTTTTTGATTTAGGCACTTCGCTTCTACATAAAGAAAAAAAAGGTGATACATTTCCATGAGAAAAATAAATAAATACAAAGACGGAATAACTTAAAATATGTCTAGGTGTATGTAATAATATAAACATAAAAAATACTCTTTTGCCTTTTTGCTTCTTATTTATAGATATTGTGAATCATAGTGATATAATTAATCCCCTATTATATGATAAATTATTGGGTTTTCATTATTTTTTTTATATATTTGTTAATGTTATCGATTCTCATAGGTTTTACATGTTTTTTTTTGCGTCACAAGTATCTCATCAGCATGACGATAAATAACTCTAGAGAGACTTTATACCTCAATGTCACTTTTTTTTATTTGACAAAACAACTATAATAATGTTTTATAGTAGGTGTGTTTTTAAGAATATAAAAAAAGACAAGAACTTTGCTTAGTTGCGTATAATCGAACTTTTTTTGAAAGATATATGTTACATAATGGCGTCGTTGCTTTTTGATAAGAATATGCGACAAGTTCAAGGGCAGGAAGATAAATATAACCCTTTAAAACAAACTATTTTCATATACATCTAAAATCTAAACTTGATGACATGAAATTTTATTTTACAATGGCAATAAAATTGACTGATCAATATTTTATTGAATAACTTTAAACGTAATAAACAAAGAAAAGAAAAACACATTCACACCATGACACAAACACAATTCTTTTTCTAATAGAACAAGTATCTGTTTTATTTTTCATATACTGAGAATCAAACACTAAGCGATAAGCATGAAGGCCAGCTTCATTGGAATAAAAAATACATTCATGCATACAATTCATTAACCTGTAAAGATTATATTTGGTTGTATATGATTTTCTAAATGTCAAAAAATATCACAATAACATTAAAAATAAGAAAATATACCGTACCAAAAATACAACGAGGGCGTTCTGAGGGCATCCATCGACCATGGTTACATGTTAAGCCTGACGGTCCATGAAGAATGTGACCTCAAAATATATAATTGTTAATGTAAATAACACTCATAGATCAACATACCTGGATTGCATTCAAATTCAAGCGTTCTACCATGTCCGACATTTGGTATATAAGAACGAAATTCACTACGAATTGGCAGAGATGACATGCGTTGATCTTTCAAAATAACATAAATTCGACCATTTATGAGTGGACCAGGATTAGTACAGAAGACTAAAACAAAAAAGATTTTATTGAGAATAATTTGAGAAAAATTCAAGAAAAAATAGGTCAACAAGTTTATTCATGCTACGATTGTAGAAAAAAAAAGATCGAAATTATGATTCGTAGCTGGATTCTGTTTGTATTATAACATTTTTCTATAGATGGTTGCGAGTAAGAAAAAATTTCAAAGATATTCTTCTAATAATTAAAAAAAAAATTCTCTCAGCACTATTTTATTTTTTTCTGCCATGTATTATATTTACTGATTGACTATCATTTATTCTTGAATATTAATCATATATTGTACATTCAATTGCAACTCGTATTTTTTCTAGGTTATTTTTTTACACTAATATTTTGATGTACCTCTTCACTCTTACTATTTGCGTATCAGTTTTATCGAAGCTTATCAATCAGCAATAAATGTTAATAACTCAAAATCAAAGACGCATATCATTTGATAATGCGAAATTTCGTGAGTGATTCGAAAAAAATACGATGCGAAATAATCAGCAATATTTTGTTTTTCGAAAAGTTCTACCAAATATGATTCTATTATTGGTGATAATTCAGAATCACACATACATACCTAGAGAAAATATTGATCTCATAGTCAAAATTGCGATAGTTTCTGAATGAAATAAGTAAATAAAAGAACTTGTCAGTGCAAAACTCACAAAGTCCAACGAGTATAAATATATTGTATATTGTTACAGGAATTAAAATAATTTATGATTAAATCAAAATTATACGAGCTCGAAAATTTTATTATTTCAAAAATACTGCAAAATCTTCAATACATAATTTCTTTTCTCCTAATTATAATATATACGATATATGTTATAGGCAGCGGCTAATATAATTTTACTCTCTGTTTTATCGGTTCATCTAACTACCATATTAGCCTATTATAAATACTGATTTAATGGCTCATGAAACTTCCGATAGTATCGTTCTTTCTCTCGATGAACTTTGATGTATACTGTTGAGTTTTGCATAAATTTAGAATTCAATTAGTCCATTCTTTTCTATGTCTGTCATATTTTGACTCAAATACATCAATAATACCATTGTTATACTGACTGACAATTACAATAAAACTCTTTCGTTGCATTGCATACCAAAATTCGCAATGTGTAGTCTAACAAGTAGGACACGATGAGAAAAAAGATAATTTTGAGCAAGACATTTTCAGAAATTTCAAATCAAGAGTTTCTACCTGAAATTTTGTCTATAGGCACTATTAGATTGTCTTAAAAGTAACCACAGCATTTTACATATTAGACATTTTCAGGAAGACATTTTCGTTCTCTTTGAAACTTTCAAGGTAATGTAATGATGCCTATAAGCAAAATATCAGATCGAAAGTTTATTTTCGATGTTTCAGAAATGTCTTCCTCTCAGATAAGCATTGTTATTACTAAAGCATCTTTTTCGTTTGCTACGCTAAAGTACTCAACAATCTGTGACTTTCCTTCTTCCACACGCAATTTTTCTTCCGAAATGTATACATGTGTTACACAAAAAAAAATTTTTTTTTATTACTTGGTAAACATTTTGGTGGTTGTTTAGGTAACCATTGTCCAAATTGACATGTTAATTTTGCTAAATGATTATTTTCAATTCTATAACCAGGAAAACAACGATATTTTGCTATTGAACCATGTCTTGTTGAATGAAATATAGTTCGACCATTAGTTATTATTGGTGGATGTTCTTTACATTGTCTTGGTATACAATGTGGTTGATGAGATAATTTTCCATCTTCTAAACATTCAACTTTGCCTGACTCAATCATTGGTTGATAATCTTCCAAGCATGTATAGAAAAATGATGAACCTTGTTCAAATAATGTACCCGATGGTATTGTTGTATTGATAATATTACGTACAAAAAGCATATGAGGTACTATACATTTAACTGAAATAAAATAGAATAAACACAAAAAAGGTTGGTTAAAAAAAAAGATTTTAAAATTTACTTGATTGACATATAGGTTGTTTCGAAAGAGTTCCATCAATACAACGTATTGTTTCATTAATAAACAATGGTAGACTATTATTTGTACATGTATATGAAATTATTTCACGATGACGATAAAATGTTTTTGAAAATATAATTTTATCATTATTTACATCACAACCTAGACAAAAAAAAATACTTAGAAAACATAAGCATTTTTTTGTTAATGATTTTATATTTTACCATTGTAACATATTGGTTTTTGAGGGACAATTTTTCCTTGTCGACAAAAAATTTTTTGACGATATTGAGAATTTTCACATAGATATTCTAAATGATTTCCATCATGAATTTTTTGTATATATGGACGAAGATGTATATAACGTGCATTTCGTGGTAATGTTGGAATTGAACAAGATATTGGTCCTATGAATAACGAAAACACAAGAAGAAACTATGAAAAGATCATACAACAAAAAAAAAAAGAAACGAACTTTCACATTTTGGAATTTTTGGTAACCAACTTCCATTTATTTGACATTTTGATATACGTGAACCTCGTAATGTTAAATTTGATGAACATTGGAATGTAATTATTGAATTAATAGAATATTTTGATGTATTATTAATTGATAATGATTCAATATAACCATTAAAATATGTTTGAGGATCATCACATGTTATTGCTAAAAGTTTGAAATTTTAAATAGAAAAAAATTCAAAAATAAATAATGACTAACGTTCACATGTAGGTGGTGTTGGTTGCCATTGAGATGAAACACATTTTAATATTGATGGGCCTTTTAATTGATATCCATCTTGACAAATATATTGAATAGTTTCATTTGTTGTTCGATCTGGTTGAATTATTTCACCATAACTGATTATTGGAGGTGCATCGCATGATTTTTCTAAAAGACATCACAATCATTGCATATCATTTCCTTTGATTAATTTTGTTCGAAAGAATTGAAGAAGTTTCTATGCGATTTTAAGGTGAGCAACTAAAGCTAAGGATGTCCTACTTAAATATAGTGATCGGATTTAAAATTAGGATTTAATCCATTCGAATATTTTTTTTTTGTTTCAAAGGAACAAATTCAAAGCTTCACTATTGAAGAGATAATCGAGACGGAAAATCGATGTTTATTTTTTGAAGATTTTCGAATATGTCATAGCATCATTTAACCTATTACTTGGTTTATCTTTCATGCTTAGAAATCTATGGCACCGATGAGATCGTAGTTTATTGACAGAAATCGTAAAGAACCTAATCTTAAGTAATTATTTCCATTTATTGAAGTTGCAATCTTTTAAAGTTCTGTAATCAATATGTTCTCGTTGAAAAATAGTGTCATGCATGTATAAGACATTATTTAATATTTTTGATCTATTTCTATCATACTGAACAAATAATCCATATTACTAATCATAGCATAGTCAAAAATTTAGATCAAATATGTCTTTTGTTTACTTTGACAAATAGGCATAGTTCCAGACCATAAACCATTTTCTTGACAAGCTCGTGTTGTATCTTTTCCAATAAGTTCAAATCCATCATTACAAAAAAATGCAATTATATTCGGATAATCAAACCGTTCACCACTTAAAAATCCATTACGTAATATGCCCGGTGAACCACAATCAACGGCTATTATATTTCCAAAATTAATAATAATCAACAAAAAAAAAATTAAGTACTTACGTGTACATTTTAATGTTGCATATGTCCATTGACCCAAAAATGTACATTCGGATGTTGTTGTCCCACTTCTATGTAGATTATTCAAAAAAACAAAAATGATTTCTTCATTTTTCCTTAATCTTACCCAACATAACCAGTTAAACAAGTATATTTAATTGAATAACCTGCATGAAATGTTGTAATCGTACTCGGAACATCATTGACTGCATTTATTATATCCGGTGGTCGATTACAAAAAACTAATACGAAAAAAACACGAAGAAAATTAATTCATCAAATCAAATACACAGTATGTTGCTCTCTAATCATGTCATAATTTTCTCCAATTCATTGAACAACAGTGTAACAGGTCTAGACTTCTATGTGTATAATATGATGACAACAATGTCTTATACTTATCTTGATACTCATATCCATGCACGCAATCCTCTTGAACTTTAATGTATGTATATATATATATGTACAAAGAAAAGGAAAAGAAAGCCGAATCAGATTGAACAATCGAGACAATATGAATAATTAGAAGGTCATCAACTTGACTCTTGATGAACTTCATTCATTAATTAATAATGTCGTATCACGCCTTTTCAAGTTCAAGATTCAATTAATACTACCTTCTTTAGCACAATATGGTACGGTATCTGATGGTCCCCACCACATATCACCTTGACAATGACGATATTTTGAACCTTCAAGTACATAGCCTGTATTACATTCATATGTAGCACGTGAACCAAATTTATTTCCATTTGAATATGTTATACGACCATGTTCCGGAGGTGTTAAAAATGGACAACTAATACCTATAGTTCAAATACAAGAGGTTTATGAAAAGAAAACATTTAGAAAAAAAAAAGAAATTATTGACCTCGTTTAACACATGACATTCCGCAATCATAATCACATACACATGAACGATATCGACTTCGACAATCACTATCATCGAAACACGATTTAAAACATTGTCTTTGTCGAGTTGCTTCACGTTTACGTGGACAATATGAAAGATCACGAATCCAATAACCTTAAATAATATGAGAAAAAAAGGTTTCAATAAGTTTCATTTTATCACATCTTTAAAAATAATATTAGTTCAATTTTATTTCGACTCATTTTCAAATGCTCTCTATTCCCAATTGACCTTGCTTTTACATTCATTCATTCATTCAATGAAAACAAACGTTGATTGCCAGTAAATCACTTCAGTTGATATGTACATGTCAAATGAAGTTAACACTCTTAGTATTTTTTATTATTCTAACCTGAACTCCTTGAAAAGATAAGAAGAAAAAAAAAACTCTACAATACCTTGACAGTAACTTGTCAATTCCCATAGAAACAATAAAATTAGTAAGAAGAATCGTTGATAATAAAAGCACATATCTATTGTTCTCGTTTTCATCATCATCAAATCAGATCATCTAAAATGTTAGTTTTTTTTTTCACTGAACGGTTTTATTATACATATTCCTTAAGATGATATAATTAAAATATCTTAATACCATGTTCATACTTTTAATCTCTACTTTTTGTACGTGTTATTTAACAAAAAAAAACAAACATGATATCAAATATATCTTACATATTTAGTACAAATCTATGACATAATATCAAACAATAAGAACAAGACAGCAAACTACAATGTACATATATATATATATAAGAAGAAAACTGATGGTCATTTGTTCTTATGCTTGACCATTTTGTATACATCTGTTATGTCCTTGCCGATTGAGATATATAATGTTATGAGAATTGTAAGAAAAGAAAACTATTGAACATAAATAAATTCTATATAACAAATGAGTATTGTATCTGCTTAGAGCAAAAGAATAGTGATTAATCAAAAAAAGCAAAATGATTATGAAAGAAATAATATAGAACAAAAAAAAACTTCTTGATCGAAATTATTTAAAATAATATAATCTTATGTATATAAACTTACTTCACATATGCCATCACCTGTCATACCTACATCATAATTGTTCAACATATTTACATATATGTATGTGCATACAAACGAGAAAGAAAGAGAGAGAGAGAGTATGTGACAGGAAAGAGAAAGAGAAGCCAGTATGTTAAGTTAGAAGTACCAATGTGTTGAGTAAAGAGAACAATTCCAATTTATATATCAGAAAAATGACGTACATACCAAAAAAAAAAAATGCATCTGTCTCTTTTTTATACAATACATACGAAAGAAGAAAAAAATGTTCATATAAAAGAAAAAAGTATATTTAGATCCTTCGTTCTTTTTTTTTTTTTTTTATAAATCTATACTTACAGCTTTGAATATATGTTTACAATAGATCAACAATACCAAAAAGAAAAAGAAAAACGCTGACCACGTACGAGTGCATGATGAGTCGAAAAGTCGACGATTGTCTTTCGCATTGAATTACAATCTTTTACATTACTTTGTACATACAATCCGATAAGAAATGCATAGTTGATGAATGATATATTTTAAACTTGCATCATCACACATCATTCGTAAGAGAATAAGGAAACAAATGTCTTACTAAGATATACATAAAAAAGACAAGACAAAGAATCGCCTGTGAACAAATCTTTAGAGATGAGCAAAAAAAAAAAGGAGAAGAACAACTCATGATAATATTGAGCAATGCACATATACGACTGTTCAGAGACTACAATATGAATGCGACAACTGGTCAAGAAATAAGTTGCTTAACACAAGACAAACAAATATAAAAAATTGTAGCTGTTGGCAACAAGTATTCAAACGTGCGATGATGCGAAAAGAGTTTTTTTTCTTTTTGAATACAATTGAGTCCGGAAGCTTAGTATACTTGTTGAGTGCAGTCATAAGAACCTAAAAACGACAACTTGTATCAATGTTGTTCATCTATATTACACAACAATATTCTATTATGCTTGAACCATAATCATTTTATATTTTGAATCATCAAAGAAAAAAAAAATATTCTATCCTTGTTATAATCATAGTACCGAAAGATCGTCTTTTTTCTTAAATTTTTTTTTCATCAAGTCACGACATAAAAGACATATATATATTATATGATGACATACATGTGAGCGGCAACTGTTCAACATAAGTTTTGAAGGACAATATTATGAATACAAAAAAAAACAATGAAAAGAAAAGAACGCTGAATAAGCGTACTGTTTACATGATCATCCTTTACTGACAAACTTGTGTAATGTATGTTGCAAGGACACATGTCGATCTAAATGATTGAAATATATTCAAGACAATATATATATATGTATATATAGAAAAGTGAAATACCTTGAATGCATATGGGTAATTGATCAGGTCGCCATTTACCTGAAAAACAGGTTGAACCACGATTACCAACAAGCATAAAACCTAAAGTCATCAATACATGATTAGCGAAAAAAAAATGAAAATCTAACAGACCAGGATCACATTCAAATTGTAATGAAGCTCCATGACTCAATGAAACATTAGCTGAAAGTATATAACGTGAACTACCATAATTAATAACATAAGTTTTTCCATTACGAATAACACCTGGATGTAAACAAATATCTAAATAATAAAAAAAACAATTATAATAAAAAATAAAGAAACTATTTTCTTTTATTTACCTGCAACACATTGTACAAGATTATCTCGATCATATGGTGACTCCCATCGACCAAATAAACATCTTAATATTCGATGATTACTTAATTTATAACCATTACGACACTAAACAATAACAAAAAACAAAAAACAGATTTCAATTTTATCTTTTCGAAATTCTAAAGATTGATTATTATTTTTTACTGAATATTCAGCATGACCACCATGTCGTCTATTATGATATTTAACATATCCATTCTTAATCCAATAAGGATGAGTTGTACAATTTTCTATCAAAAACAAAAGTAAAAACTATAGTTTATGTTTAAATTTTAAATTTAATATATTACTTGGTTCACATAATGGTTGTGGTGTTAGATATCCTTGTATGCATGTCACATTCGTCATGCGTGCATAACCATGAATACATTCATAATCAAATGATTCTCCCTCGTTTATTATTTTATTTAATTCAGTATTATTATTCAATAATACATAAGGAATATCAAATGGAATATGACACTTTCCAGAAATTCCTTTTTTTTTTCAATAATAGAATTGATAAAAATAAGAAAACCAGATAGAAAAAAAAATAAGATGACATACTTTCTCGACAATAAGGACCACCATTTGTCCATTCACCATCAATACATTGAACAATTGATGGTTTCATTAAAGAACAATTTTGCATTGTTGTTGATTGGCAATGACATAGATATTTAATCGAATATCCATGTCGAACATACGCACCTGATTGTAATTCTTTTCCATACCATTCATTAGTATTATCATCTATATAATAACCAATTAGGTTTTTTCCTAAATTCGGTAAACGACATTTTGCTAAAAGAAAAATAAAATCATTCGAAAACATCAAAAAGAATTTTATTAAACAATAAAGAAAATCTACCATAACATTTTGGTAATATCGGTTTCCATATACCATGATTATCACATACGACATAATCAATCATTGGAATAAGATCAAAATGTGTAGTAGTACTAGTATTACATGTCAGACCAGTACCTTCACCAGATGAAAATATTGAACGTGAACTTAAAACATAACCATTAAAACCTTCTAATAGTGGATGTCGACACATAGCTTCAATACATTGTGGTCGCATATTTTGCCAACGACCATGTTTACATTCAATTTTTGATATTGAATCTTTTAATATATATCGTTCAAAACAAGAATATTGTGCATAAGTTGATGTAGTATTAACAAGGTAGGCATTTGGTATTGATGGTGGTTCACCACATGGAGATTCTTAAAAAGGAAATGATCAACATACATATATATATATTCTTCTTAAATATCTATTTATATAAATTAATTTTCTTACTTAAACATCTTGCAGTTTCTAACGGTGACCATGTTCCATTTTTTAAACATGTTTGTAAAGGAGATAATCGATCAAGTTCATAACCAGGTTTACATTCAATACGTATTTGTTGATCTGGATAATAGACTTGTTGTTTTGGTGTATAATCACCGTTTGTTATTAAATTATCCATTGTACAAACTTCATCTAAAATAAAATAAAAGAATAATATTTTATATTTCTAATGTGATATATTTACCTTTACGTATACAATAAACATCAACAACTGGTTCCCAAAAACCATCACTAACACAAATACGTTCTTTTGGTCCAACAACTGTATAACCTGAATTACATTCATAAACAAGACGACTATAAAATGAATGACCATCATAAAGTATTCGACCATGTGGTGGATTATTTATTATTGGACAAAGATATCGTTCAGATATAATAGCTAAATAGAAAAAAAAACAAAGAAAATTTTCTTTTTTTTTTTTTTTTTTGAATTAATCATGTATTACTTCTTGAAAGACAAGAAAATCCACAATTATGATCACATATACAAATTTTTTGTTGACGACAATTTGTATTTTGATTTGTTCCATGACATGAACGTTGACAATTTCTATGAACATTTTTTTGTCTTGGACATATATTTTCTGTTTGATTTGATGAGGAATATTCATTAATAAATGTTGGTGATGGTTGATAATAATTAAGAAATGGTGTTAATGCTGATGTTGAATAAAAATCATAATTATTTATTGATGCCGATGGTGTTGTTGTTGATCGTGTTATTAAACGATGTCGATAGATGTAGGGTTCAGTTGCACTTGGACGACCATGTTGTTCTAAGTTCAAGTGATGTGCTTGACAAAAAAATTTCAATTTAGGTTCAAAGGAGAGAGAAAAAACACAAAACTCAGCAGTTTTATATTGAAAGAGAATGTTCGTAATTGATTAAGAGATTTTAATAAAAGACTTCTATCAGTAGTAGAGTCGATTGAGTTCGGATCAGTAAAACCTAGACTCGATGAGCTCTAGTCATTTGAGAAATGTATACGATATACTTATCATTGAATACAAAAAAAAAAGCAGGAAAAAAGGTCTAGTATCTTTGGGACGATCATCCAATGGAATTAAAAAACTTCATTGAGAGTATCAAAGTACAGTTCGATTGAGTGTGGATGAGGGTTCTAAAAATGCTCAATAAACCGAGTTCGGGTCCCAGGTACGTTCAACAAGCCGGGTTCAGATCCAAATCCTAAAACCGTTCAATAAACCGGATCCAAATCCGACAGTTTCTTTTTCATCATCGACATATGCAAAAGAAAAATCTTTATAATTTTCTGGCATTTCATATCCTTAATAATATTATCTGATTATCACCAATTGTATGAGAAATACAATGAAATAAATAATTTCTCAAAACGATCTTCAGAATGCATATTTAATACTTAATAATCATTACATATGTTAATTGATTGCATCACATATATTTTTATTAAAAAGAAAAAATAATAAGATGTAATGAAGAATTTATTTCTTAAAAATGAAGAATTAATATTATGCATAGAAAAAAGAAAGAAATATTAGTTTTTAATTTGATTACATTGATTTATCTATTTCAAATTACTCTTATCATACCTGCAATATGAACAAGTAATGGATTTCGTATTGTATTGACATATTGAAATAAAATAAAATATATTATTCTTATTCCGTAATGCATATTGCATAGTTACACAATGATGAACACGAGAAAAAATATGATGATAATGATGAAGACAGTTGCTTTCGCTTGCTCGAGCAGCAACTATTTGATAGTATTAATATTTATCTATCTTCGCATTTTTTCCTCTCTCGTTCTATCTTTTTCCGGCATTGAGGAACAAAGAAAAAAAAATAAGCGATGAATAAATTTCATGTTCTACTTCCGAACTAAGACAATCACATGAAATATTCTCTTCTTGTTCTTCTTCATCATTTCAAGATATTTGCTTTTATTATTAGTATTAATAATACATGCATATTCAATAATGTCAATAATGTCAAAGAAATAAAATCGATTACCAATAAAATAATGGTTTATGATCAAAATTTGCAATTAACTCAAGACTATTAATAATAACTGAAAAATCATTATGAAATTTTTTTGATAATATTGAATAACAAAATGTTTTTATTTCATTTATGTTTGATAAAATATTTGAATACATATTTAACCATTGATAATCGGAATAAATACCATATTTATTTATATAATAAAATGTTATTATTGAATGATAATTAAAATGAAAATTTGTTTTTAAAAGATATTTTTCAATTTGTAGAAAACGTTTTTTATATATAAAATGATCATGTTTATTAAATTCATTTTCAATTATTAATGATAAATAACGAAGTGAATAACCATAGAATTGTTTTGATTGAGAAAATATTATAACTAATATACGTCGTTCAAGTTGATAACATATTTCACCTAGTAAACGTTCATCTTTTTTTTTGTTGGTAAAAAACAAAATATGAATAAGACCGAAAAAAATTAGTTAATTAATTTACCTAATTTAAGAACTGAAGAATTATTATTTTTATTAAATTCTATTGATAATTGAAGTTGTTTTGTTAATAATTTAACATCATTTGTTATTTTTTGTAATTTATTGAGATTTTGTTTAGTTTCAGAACTAATTATTGATGTTTGATGATCTTTTTCATTAAAATATTTATCTATTCGTTCTTTAAGATATGTTTCTGTTAAAGGACAATCATTAGATGATTTTTCTAATATGTCAATAATTGTTGTATTTATATTTGTTTCTTGAATTTGATGTGTTAATTTTCTTGGTTGATCAGATGAAGTAAATAGATTTGATTCATTTGTTGTAGTTCTAACAATAAGTCCATGTCTATAGAAAAGAGTTCAATATTATTATATTGATGTTTGAAGCAATTTTTATATAATCAAATTAACAGATTAACAAACAATGAAAATTTTTTTTTTTGACTTTTATTTTTCATATATTTTAATAGCGATGTACATTAGAACAAATGAAGGTGTCCAGTAATCAGTAAAAATACAAATTTTCAAATAAACCAAAAGCAATGATTTTTGTTTTTTAATGGAAAAATATCACGAGAAACATAGTTTTCAATTTATTGCATTCAATTTAAATAGAAGGCTCAAGGAAATAGTCTTACAAATACTAAATAGGATATTTTCATAAACCCAGATAAATATCCTACTGTTGGTCTTATCTGTCATGTCGAGATTATAAAAACGATAAAAAAAAGCTGTTAACACAATCCCTATAGAATTAAAATGAAAAAAGCGACGTGTCCGCTTTTGCTAATCTCAGGAAGATTGTTTTTTTTTCTATCTACTTTCGAACATATGTGTTCACTATGTTTAGAGTTAATCTTTCAGAAATGTAATAAGGAAGTAGTTCTTATATTAGAACGAGATATTTTCGATATATGGTCTTTGATTGTATATCAACAACGTCAGTCCCGATGTGTGTGCAAGGCACAGTGTATATTTTTCATATGGTATACAGATCTGTAACTTTCTTCTTCGACAATGACTGGACATGACGCTGGAAAGTATTTTCAAGAAAACAAAATATTTTTGGAAAAAAAGTCGTTCGAAGAAATATACCTGACGGGACCCTTACTCTCATTTTTCAGAGAAAATTTTTTTCATCGAAATTGTTTTGTGTTGCATATCATTCGATGCAGTCTAATGAGCTGATTCCGAATATACTATTTTTTGTCGATTAAATATGTTTCCAATGCCAGAAAAATACGATAAAAAAATTTAAGTGTTTTGGAAATTCAATTTTGTCGCTCAGGAATGTTCGTGCTAACAGAAATCAGAGACAATAAATAGAAGAACATTTTGATAAGATTAGAGTTTAGATGTGGATGTATTGATCATTTCACGAGCTAGCCCTTCAGACGACTATGTAGCAAAACATGTTCTTTGATTAACTTTGAGATTAAGAATTTGTATCTGATTTGTCTATCGAAGAGTTTAATTTTCTTAGATATCAATTTTTCTGATGACAGCAAGATTCTTCACGTTAGTTTTAGGGCAAATGGTTTTCCAATTCTTTTTTCGATTTGTAACAAAGCTATTTATGACATTAGAAAAACTATATTTTGACGTATATTTTTCTATATTTGAACCTTGTAAAAATAAGATTTTCATTTTTACTGAAGTGCTCGTCTAGACGTGCACTGTGGGCAGGAGAAGTGGCTCCACATTCTTAACCTATATACTTCAATACTCCTTTTAGATTGTGTTTCACAAAAGGAGTCTATAGAAATTATTCTATGAATAGAAACTGATCTGTAAAGGATAATGAAGAAAAGTTTCTTCATTCTTCCCGTATAATTTAAGATTTAGATAAAATTTATAGACATCTCACAATACCAATACCGTATTCGTCTTGTGAGATACCCTAAAAACCTAAATAACAAATAGAGGACTTGGTAAACTTCAGAAAATGTTTATAGGATAAGATTTACGACATCGATATGTAGCTCTTTCTGTTCTGTTGTGAAAAGCTCTCGTACGAAGTACTCGGATATGAGTGTAATAAAGATATCTTTTTTAAGCAAATAGCTTAATTGAATGACACATTTCCAATTAAAGCAGTCAGTATCCGCAGAAAAAGTCATATTCATGTACTGATTTAGAAGTAAAATAGAAAAATAATAATAAACAATTATTTATTTAGTCATCAAATCATTTAAATGTTTCTCTTATGTTATAGATGTCCTTCATATAACAGAAAATGCGCAGACTTAATTTCTTTCCTGTAAAACAACTTCTATATATACTTTGTCAATAAGCAAATGCATGACTACTACTTCCGTAAGACTTCTTCTCTTCAGCAACAGATGCGCACATAACATTTTCTCTCCAACAGAATTTTTTAAAATTCGAGCAAGTTAAAAACCAATCAAACACATACTGAAATAACATGAAGGCATCATCCTTACTTTCACTGTCATTATTTTGAACATTCACGATAGTATGTGCCACTAACGTAACTATCTGAAAAGCAACATTCTTGTATTTGTCACAGACATATGTGAATACATGTCAAAGCGCAGTGACTCTTAGTGATTCACTGCGGAACACTTTGTATAGCCTTTTTTCATACATTGACGAATGTCGAGCCGTCTATAGTAATTGAAAACCTATACTTTTACAATGTAAGCGTGACATGATCAAAGTGTCGCTTTATTTCATTGTTTGGTTGTACTTGAAAATAGGGTTTTTCTCTCAACAGTGTCGCCAATAATACGCAGAATAAAACAGATGACTCGCATTGACATAGTATTCACGTTTTTTTGACTCTTATCTTCGTGTTAATCATTCCTAATATTCACTTTATATCATGTAGATTTGAATGTTTAAAAAAAACCTTCAATAAACGTTAAAATTAAATAAAATAATTATTTCCGCGCTTTTTTTTGAAATCATATAATTTAAAATTTAATCTACCTTGCTGCAAATCGTTGACAAATATAATTTTTTTCAATTGATTGATTTTTAGTTTTAGTTGAATTATCTTTTTTCATTAAATTTGTTTTTAATTCTAAATCAAAACTTATATTTGATTGTTTAATCATCATGAATTCTTTTCTTTTTTTTTTTGTCTTCAATTATCATTAAATGGTGTCCTCTTTTTTACTAAACAAAAAAATTTCCATTGGTTATTACTTTAACAAATACATTATGTAAGAACGAGCTGTTTTAACAATCGATCGCTCGAGTCTCGCACGCACGCACTGGCGATGCTACTAATTGTCCACCATGATGATTTGTTGTTTTTTTTTTGATGTTTTTTTTTCGAGAATTTCGTTTGTCATTATCAAATAATTCTATGAATATTAAAAAAAATCTATTCAATATTATTTTTATTAATTATTTTAAAATTAACTACCATATCAACAAGGAAAAACAAAACGAAGACAAGAAGGAAACAGTCATAGATAATATATTGTTATGTATATAACCGGAAATTTCAAAAAATATATATTTATATTTATTAAAGAAAAAGCTTAATGAAGATATGGAATCTTTAGTTTTGATATATTTTACTTCCTCTTACATTTCAATTGATCATATATAGAAAAAAAAAATACAATGTATGACCTCTATCGATAAGTAAAAAAAAAAAAAAAACGCTATTTTCTTTCTTTTGTCATTTCTAGATATGAGTTTTTTATTTATTTACAAACAATAATTATTATTTTATAGAATGAATCTCGTATCGAAACCATCCGAAAATCAATTTAATTCTCGTGGTATGAAATAAATAAAAACAATTTTCGATTTAAAAAAAAACAATTATGCTTCTATGTATATCTCAATATGTTTAGGTCAAGATGTCCTTCCATTAGATAATAATTTTCCAACATTTAAATTATTTCCTCAACGTAGTGATTCAATTGATAACAGTAATAATCGTGCATCACCATCAAATAATGGTTTAGGAATAATTCCAAAAATTTCAAGTCCAACAGATCCAGATGATATTGATTATCAACCAATAACACTATCACCATTTCGTTTGTTCGGTACAACAACAACAGCAACAACAGTATCAACATCAAATCAAAATCCAATAATAAAAATTTCTCAGACAAATTCATTAAAAAAATTTTCATCTACTATTGATAAACCACGACGAAAACGAACACCTAAAATTGATGATA